GAGACTACCTTTACCTGATCTTTTTCTGGATGCCAATTTTTTAGTCACCTTTTTCCTCGTGTAACATTTCTGCTGGTTTTCTTCGTCCCATCCACTTCCAGCCTACTTTTCACTACTTGGACTGTTATTGTTGTCAAATCATTCCCCCTCCTGAAGAGAAGTGGTATATTTTTCATTTTTTTAAAGGCACGAAAATAGCTATATATCAATATAGCACTGTACTGACAGATCAAGCGAGTTCTCTGAATTCCCAGCATTCATTAAAAAAATAGTAAGTCTCCAGCTCCCTTCTTTGCAGAGATATGCCTTTTTCCTTATATCTCTGTGAGGGAAGAGGCTAGAGACATACTTTTTTTTTTTTAATGAAAGCTGGGAATTCAGAACCTGCTTAATCTATCACTACAATTCAGGCTCAAAAATAAAAGGGGGGTTGCTCTGATGCCAGTGATGTTGACAGCACCTTCCCTTGAAAATCCTGATTAAGGCATGTGTGGAAGAAAATAAACTGACTCCACAACTACGAAAATGCAGTGGGAGGGCTGCTGTGTAGAAGAACTGTGTCCAAACCAATTCCAGTCCTTGGGGATCAACTGCCAAGAAAATCAAGAGCAAGTTGAGTGTATGGAAAAGCCCTTAGATGGAAGGCTGGATAGATCCTACTGACATACCTCAGCAGCTCAGAACTCTCGAAGCTAGAGAAACAGCTCTAGATCAAGCAACTTTAGTTTGGTGTAGTGGTTAAGTGTGGGGATTCTCATCTGGGAGAACCGGGTTTGATTCCCCACTCCTCCACTTGCACCTGGCTGGATGACCTTGGGCAAGCCATTGTTCTGATAACAGCTGTTCTTGAAAAAGAGCAGTTTCTCTTAGGGCTGTCTCAGCCCCACCTACATCACAGGGTGTCTTTGTGGGGAGGGGAAGGGAAAAGGAATTTGTAAGCCACTCTGAGTCACAAAGAGAAACCCCCAATTAGGTTCCCCCCCCCCCCGGGACTGTCCCATTTGGATTGCAGGTAAAGGAGAGATTGCAGGTATGAATATTCTTTTTTTTAAAGAAAACAAACCTTCCTGCACCGAGAAAAGTAGCGAGGCAAGGAGAAACCTACCCTCCACTTCCCTCTTGATTTACTGAATACACACACACACACACACACACACACACACACACGGATGCAGTCAAACATGAATGCCACCCCACACACCAGCATTCTGAATTGGTACAGTCCGAGTGGGGGGGGGGGGTTTACCAGTTCCCCCATGTATGATTCTTCAGTATGTGTGGCTGTGGGAAATGATCTTTCTCTTTCCAAGAATGTAAAGACTAAATTTCCCCCTTCTTCTCCTTTCAGAGTGGAGAGATGGAGATCCACAACCCACTCTTCAACACCTCCACCTTCCGAGGGTGTCCTCCCTAAATTCTCTCTCTCTCTCTCTCTCTGTCTCCTTTTTGTTTTACATTTCCTGCTCATCTCCGCTGGTGGGTTAATGTGGGGAGGATTCAGGCTCCTAAAAGCCTCCATACTCTTTGGCAGTATGTGGGGGGGCGGGCATGCTGTTCATGTCTCCTGCTCCCTTCAGGGATAACAGCCTTTCTGTATCAACAACCCTCCCATAACCCTCCTTTAATCCCACCCTCATCCTATGGAGTTTTATTTTAGAACAAAAGGAGAAGACTATTGGGAGTTTCTTATTATAGATCTGCTTCAGGTCAACTTCTCTGTGACAACCATCCAACATTCCTACAGCCCCGCCTTGAGAGAATTCTGACCCTCTTCGAGATGTCCTTCCTGATACCATAAATTCTCCAGCTGGAAGGGTTTCCTTTTGATCCAGCAAAGCAGATTTCAAAGTGCCATCCTCAGTACTTGCAACCTTCTAAGCCTACTGGATTTAGAAGGGCGAAACTTATTTTAGGATTACACCGCTACTGTGGGCAACCTATTTATGCATGCACGGCTGATGTTGATCCAGATGTGTGCGCCCATCGGCATGGAAAAATTCATCTTGGCCTTGTTTGAACTGGCTGGATGTACCTTCTGATGGCCTCCAAGGCCATGAATTCTTATGTCAGGGCTATTTACCTCAGTGGACTGGGGCTATAGCCTTTATTTCCTCTTATTTATTTATGGAGCCACTTTCTCCTCTCAGCTTAAAGCAGCTTAATGCTATTAAAACCAGGGCTGACATATAATTGAGTTGATTGTTATGAATCGCTGTTGGTTAATTAAATCTACCTAGGAGATGATGAAACAATAGTTTTAGAATAACGTTTAGTACTTGTATAGTGCTTTCAAGTGTTCAGATTGTTTCACATACACGTATTCCATACATTGTAATCCTTACGCCAACCCTGTATGGTAGATCAGTGTTACTACCCCCCGCGTTGGAGATGGGAGGCTATGACTGAATGACAGTGACTTGTCTGAGGCTTCTCCGGTCAGAGATGAAATTGAAACCAGAGACTGCCTGATCCATAGTTTGGTCCAATAGTCACTCACTTTCTGCTAGCTTTGGTGTATTTAAAAAACAAACTAGACTTTGTTTTCAGGTGAAAAAGTCACTTTAGAAGATGCATCCTCCTTTCTCCCCAACACAGAAAGGAATCCCTCATTTAAGATGGTGTATGATGCCAGATGGTGTATGTCACCTACAATGCTTTTTTAAAAAAATTGTTCAAACTCTTTAATCAATGTATGACTAATGTAACATAAAAAAACTGTAGCAATGTAAAATAGAGCAACTCATAGCAACAAACGTAAAGCAAAATAGCACTGAAGTCACTATCCTCAGCCAAGCATACCAGAATTACAAATGAAAAGCTTGAGAAATAAATGTCTTCATTTGGCAGTGAAGGCTTTACAGAGGCCTCACCTGGAAAGGCAGGTTAAGAACATAAAAGAAGCCATGTTGGATCAGGCCAATGGCCTATCCAGTCCATCACTCTTTGTCACACAGTGGCCAAAACCCAGGTGTCATCAGGAGGTTCACCAACAATGCTCCCTTTAAGCTGTGGAGTCCTATGAGCAAAAATTCTACTTTGTGAGCTCCTGGCATTAAAGTTGTGAGCGAGCGATTTGGCTATCGCATTGATTAATTTGTTCTGGAGCCATCCTTCCTGAGCTAAGATAAAAATCTGTGAGCTGGAGGCTTAAAAACGGTGAGCTAGCTCACACTAACTCAGCTTAGAGGGAACACTGTCAGCGGGGCCAGAACTCCAGAAGTCCTCCCTCTGTCGCCCTCCCCCCAAGCACCAAGAATACAGAGCATCACTGCCCCAGACAGAGTGTTCCAACTATACCTTGTGGCTAATACCCACTGGTGGACCTCTGCTCCAGATATTGATCCAGTCCCCTCTTGAAGCTGTCCATGCTTGCAGCCACCACCACTTCTATTGCTATTGAGGTGGCCCTTCACAGATCATCCACCGTTCCCTTCATGATAACCCTCAATCACAGAGATTTGGGTTTCTCAGTCCCCTCACTTTTGCACATGTCTGCATGTCTTCATGTCAACACAACTACCTAATTCCATGTCTATGTCACAGAATCATAGAGTTGGAAGGGACCTCCAGGGTCGTCTAGTGCAAGCCCCTGCACAATGCAGGAAATCCACAAAGACCTCCCCCTGCACAAGCCCATGTTTGCACAAGTGAGAAACCTGACAGACCTATCCCATCAATCCATTTCCCTGCATTTCCCCTCTGCTTCATGCTACACCTTGCTTTTTTTTTTGCCCCACTCAGATACTGCCTCTGTGTATGTGCCGGAAGCCACGTGTCGAAAATGTACAGATTGTATATTACAAGCATTGTACGTGTGTCTTAATTGGATGCTCTGTGCGTACCTTCCCTGACTGCTGTGGTGGCCTAGGCATCTTGGTAAGATGTTGCTTCTGCCTGTCTGCTCTCTGGTTTTGTGGCATAACGATCTGGATCGCACTGGTTGAGGGGGACAGGCAACTGGTGCAAAGGAAGCAGGCTTGATGACCTTAGTGTAGACTTCAGCATCCAACAATTCATGGGACCACCCTTTTGCAAAACTGCTGCACTCTGTATCCCTGACGCTTGTACAGTCCCATCCTTAGTCTGTACTGTAAATCTGAGGACTAGAGACCAATGCTCCCTCAAAGCTTTGGAGTCTTGTGAGCAAAAATTCAACTTTGTGGGCTACTGGCATTAATGTTGTAAGTGAGTGATTTGGCTGCTGCATAAATCAGTGTGATTTGGAGCCCTCCTGCCTCAGCTAAGACAAAAATGTGTGAGCTGGAGGCTAAAAAACGGTGAGCTAGCTCACACTAACTCAGCTTAGAGGAAACACTGCGTAGAGACCCACTGCCAAATGTGTGGCAGATTAGTTCAAGTGGCTTGGATCCTATGAATTATTAACAGTATCCAGTACATTTTTTAAAATCCTGCCTTTCCTCTAAGGAGCTTGGAGCCATCTACATTGGTCTCCACTTGCCCATTTTATTTTCACAACAACCCTGCAAGGAAGGTTAGGCGGGAAGAGTGAGACATTGGCCCAAGGTCATCCGGTGAGCTTTCCTGGCACAATGGAGGTTTGAACCCGAATCTCTCATATCTTATGCTGAGACTTTAACCACTCGATGGCCCTTCGTACATGACCCTTTAACCACAGTAGAGTGGAGGGCACGGAAAGAATCTTTGCTGTCCTTTCCTTTCCACAATAGTCTCTTCCAACGCTCCCTCTAAGCTGTGGAGTCTCGTGAGCAAAAATCCTACTTTATGAGCTACTGTAATTAAAGCTGTGAGCGAGCGATTTGGCTACTGCATAAATTAGCTTGCTCTGGAGCCATCCTTCCTGAGCTAAGAAAAATATGTGTGCGCCGGAGGCTAAAAAACTGTGAGCTAGCTCACACTAACTCAGCTTAGAGGGAACACTGGCTCTCCCCCCCCCCCAGGATAGGCAGACCTCAAGAACAGTGTGAGGTGCAGTGCAGGGCTCTGCTGCTGGAAGGGAGGGGGGGCAATTAGACACATTCCTCACTTTTACAAGTGGTGGGAATGGCACAAAAGCTTGTCCAAAGGGAAGAGGGTTTCACCGCCCATTCCTGAGATTCTTCTCACCCAAAGGAGTAGTTGTGTGCCTGGGGAGGGTGGGTGGGGCGAGTTCCAGCTTCTCCACTGAAAAGGAAAAAGACACCCCCATTCATACCTTTGTATCGCAGCTCCCCACTGGGTGGGGCTTTCCTCCCACTAGCTGCTGCTATCAACACCTGCTGTCCTCAGATCCTACATGTAGTTTTTTCCCCTGAGCAGATTGATTCTTTTGCACCCCTTCACCAAATCTGTAACTTCTGTCAGTATCGTCTTGTTAGCAGCTTGATCTGAGCAGGCTGAATGTTCATGAACAGTCGGTGACATCACCAAAGTCCGATTGCTCACAAGCCTACCGCAATAGCCATTTTCCAGCCACAATGTAGAAGCAACACAGAGAAAAATATTTGAATACAATTGTGGGGTAAGTGGGTGAGAATTCTTCTGCTAATTCCTTTCAAAAATTCCAGCTATATTTTCAGTTCCTTTTGTCAGCATTCCTGATTGAGGATTCTATTGCAGTCAGAATTTTTGGAGAGCATGTAAAAGAAGCGAATTTGGCAAGGATCTAATGTATCTGATGCAAGAATGCACATTTACTTCTTTAAGATGACGTGTGAAATTTATACAGTTGTTTATGCCAGCCAAAAGGAAATGATTTTTCACTCAGCTTGTGGAACTCACTGCCTCTGGATGTAGAGACCCAGAGTGGTGTGGTGGTTAAGAATGGCAGACTCTAATCTGGAGAAATTGGGTTTGATTCGCCCACTCCTCCTCCACCTGAAGCCTGCTGGGTGACCATGGGCCAGTCACAGTTCTCTCAGAACTCTCTCAGCCCCACCTGCCTCACAGAGTGTCTGTTGTGGGGAAGGAAAGGGAAAGGCAATTGGAAGCTGAGTTGAGACTCCCTTGGGAAGTGAAGGGCGGGGTATAAATTCAATCTCTTCTTCTTCTACCCCGCCCTCCCAGCAGAGCCAACTCAGGGCGGTTTACGTAAAATTGGCATGTGATTACAATAAAATGAAAGATTTAAAACAATGCCAAAACCAATTAACAATAACATAAAAAGTGCTAGCATTGTTGTTATCAAACAGCGATGGCTACCATATTAGCTCTCTTCCCATAACCGGCTTGTAGATCATCCTCGGATATCTTGTAGGCAGCCGGCACAGGCTGTTATTACAAATTCCGAAGGCAACGGGCTTCCGATCCTAGCTGTTAGTGGTGGTGGCAGCTCCAAAGGCCTGGCAGAAGAGCTCCATTTTACGGGCCCCGCAGAACTTGGTGGTCTCCCATCCAAGTACTAAACAGGACTGACCCTGCTTTGCTCGAGAGATCTGACAAGACTAGGCCAGCCTG